GGAAGCAGGAAGCTGATCTGAAAGCAAAGGGGCTGGAAGTCAAACCAGGCACTTCCTCATGGGATGTTGGTGACTTACATTTTTAGAAAAAAAAAAAACAAAAAAGAAAATATCCAAATTTTTAATTTTACTGAATCCTTTTAGAATCTGCTCATTTTAAACAAACCCAAGAAGGTAGTTGACATCATTTTAGAATATACACCTTGAAAAGTTTATGTTATAAATTTCACGTATGTGAATAGGTTTAAATGGACATTCCAGTTATTTATTCTAAAACCTAAACTAATATTACCAGATGGAATTTAGCCACCCAAGCAAGCCCCTGGGATTTCATTATTCAAATGATTAAGATGCTATTTGTCAACCCTAGTTTACCATCCCTTTTAATTATATAGATAATCAAACTAAGAACTGCTAATTCTGTCTCCTAACCATTAATTGTTTGTAATTACCTACAGATTAAAACTGCATGTGCAATTAACTCAAAGAATTAATTGATGCGAGGGAATTGATAAAAGGGAAACAAAATGAGCTTGCCATGAAAGAGACACTTAGGAGGGAGGACACTGAACCCCGTTTTGTCTTTGCTGCTGTTACAAACTAATCAAGATACATCGCATTGTCCCTGGGGCTTCTTCAGCTCCGCTAGAGGCAATTGCGTATTGAAGAACTTTCAGTTTCTTTGTTGACTGAAGCAGTGCATGCGGAGTGTGAACCCAGTGTGAACCGCTGTTCCCATTTTGTCCGTTGCTGATAGCCAGGTGGACTGAATACTTACTGATTCAAACTGCGGTAGGAAGTACGTTTCACTGCCAAAAAATACAGAGTGGCGACTACTGGGAGCTGACCATTTTGTTTCCTTCCACTTTGCCTTCTTTTCCTGGCAATCTCACCTGGGAGACACAATCTTTTTGTGTAATTTTAAGTTTCTAAAGTAACTGCTTTTTAAAAGTCTTTGATAAGTGCATACATGTGAATTAACATGAGAAATAAAAAGCTACCTTCACACTGACTGGTAGCGCAAAATTGGTACTGTTGTAAAGGTCAGGAGGGTGCTAGAGCGCAGAGACAGCGAGGGTGGTCCTGAAGAACCCTAGAATTTTAAAAGCCAGTTTTGAAAGCTGTTCTGTTCCTTAAGATGTTGGGGTTGGTTGCATTACGTAGAAGCCTTTCAATCCACACTTTAGGTCTCTGGCCTTTGAAGCAATGCCGAATCACATGCCATTACGGAGTGTGCACGCTCATGCATGCACACACACACCAGTGCACACGTACACAGGCACATGTTCGTGCACGCTTGGGGTGTATTATTCTATCTACCACCAACACAAACAGGTGGAATTCAGAGTCTTCATTTCCACATGGCACTAATTGTACCAGTGTGCTGCCTTAGTTGCCTACTCCAAAAATTTTTTTTATTATGTTTTTATTGGAAAGTCACATATACAGAGAGGAGGAGAGACAGAGAGGAAGATCTTCCATCCGATGATTCACTCCCCAAGTGAGCGCAACGGCCAATACTATGCCGGTCCGAAGCCAGGAGCCTCTTCCGGGTCTCCCACGCGGGTGCAGGTTCCCAAAGCTTTGGGCCGTCCTCAACTGCTTTCCCAGGCCACAGGCAGGGAGCTGGAAGGGAAGCGGGGCTGCCGGGATCAGAACCGGCGCCCACATGGGATCCTGGGCGTGCAAGGCGAGGACCTTAACCACTTGCGCCACTGTGCCGGGCCCTCCAAAATGTTTTAAAATGATTTATGGATAAGGCAGTGAATGGTGGGCGGTGGAGGGAAGCTGCAGATTGCTCGGGGAACGTGTTGGAGTGGAGGTGGCTGAGGGTATGTTTGACACGGACGGAATGACTTCTGGGGGTCTTCCACGGGCAGAGCCATTGCACTCTCAGATAGGTAAAGGAGTTGAGACCGAATGGTTTAGCGAGGGAGTACCAGGGAGTACCTGGGTCGGGTCAAGGCACCCACCCGTGGGGGAGGTCTGTGAAGGACTAGGTAGAATCACCTGCCAGTACATGCACAAGCTGGGGCTGGAAGGCATGTCTGGTTGGGCTAGACTGCAGTACCTGTCTGCAAGTGTGGGAACAGTGAGTGGACAAAACCAAGCTGGACTTCAGCACCCACTGGAATGCAAAAGAACTGGATTAGGGGTAGGATTCTGTAGGGGGTTTGTGGGCTCACCTCTTTGGGACCACAGCACCTTCCCATTTGTGCAAGAGCTGGGGTTGGTAATTGTTAGAGCTAGGCTGGACCACAGAACTAACGTGACAGGAACTCACCTGACACTCAGGGGAGCCAGGGCTGGGAGGAAGCCTTCCTGGGCCACATGCAAAGGCTGGGACTGAATTGACAGACCATGCTAAGCAGGGTTGTGGCACCTGCTGGCACTCGTGAAATGCAGGGCTGCCAGCAGGCCTGGGAGGAGAACTTAGGGAACTCTCTTACTACGTTACAGCTCCCACTGGGAGCAGTAGAGCTGAGGTGGGCCAGACCAGGCAGGGATACAGCTCTCATCAGAATTTGTGTAGGTAGGATCTGGGAACAGGCCTGGACCAGGCCAGGCTGTAGCATCTGCTGACACACATGAGAGTCAGGACATGGAGAGGGCCATGTGTGGCTGGGTTAAGATGCAAATTCCGCCAGCTTGTGGGTCGGTCATGCCAGACTGGGTCAAAGCACCCACCAATTATGTGTAAGCTCCAGGACTGGGAATGGACCTGGAAGAGGGACTTTGGGACTTTATTGCTAGGCTGCAGCCACCACCTATAAGTGCAAGAGCTGGAAATAAAAGAAAATTGTAAGTATCAAATGCTGCACTGGTCTTTTTTTAAAACTATCAGCATATAGCTTTTGAGGGACCATGGAATGACCTGGAATGTGTTGAATGCTACCTTCTGTGTCTGAGTTTTGAAAAGGGGTTATTATCATAAATCAATATGTGAATGGCTACTTTGAGAATTTCAGTGGAGACCAACTGCTTTCCACCATGAGAAAGTTACAGCTGTGTTTTGTGGTGCAGTGTCCGTATACTTCAGTAAATAATGCATTGTCTCCTTGCCTCCATAAAATATTTGATAATGGTTGGAAAAGGGTTTCGTTGCTTTTGCTTTAATATTGGATTGAACTGTGAAGGGATTAGGGCAGTCCCCGCTTGACTCCTGAGACTTATCCTCATGAGACCAGCATTTATTCCCCAATACCTGTGTAACTAATGATCCAGAAACACAGAGCCAGTGGAAGTAAGGTGTTATTCCCATCCTGGAAGAGTTTATGCCTACCATTTAGAGATTGGAAAGGCCAGCACAGTCACCTTCCTGTAGAACTGCATTGAGGGGGCCAGGTACAATAGCCTAGTGGCTAAAATCCTTACCTTGCGTGTACTGTGATCCCTTGTGGGTCCGGTTTGTGTCATGCTTGTGGCCTGGGAAATCAGTAGAGGGTGGCCCAAAGTCTTGGGACCCTGCACCCACATGGGAGAATCAGAAGAATCTCCTGGCTCCTGGTTTCGGATCAGCTCAGCTCTGGCTGTTATAGCCACTTGGGGAGTGAACCAGTGGATGAAAGACCTTTTTCTCTGTCTCCCCCTTTTCTCTGTAAATTTACTTTTCTAATAAAATGATTTTTTTTAAAGAAGCTCATTAAAGGTGTATCAGGAAGAGTCCTGGGAGTCAGGGAATGTGTTGAATTCATCAGGAACGTTTCATAAAACATGTGAAGGCTTCCACGTGTCTACTGACTCCTGTGTTGTCTTCATAGAGCTTTTTGGACTTGTGCAGGTCCATAAATAAAATATAAAGTGCACGGCTTTTCTCTTACCTTCTCCTCAGACACTGCCAGGTTCACCACAGGCCCTCCGTTACTGCCATTTGCTTCCTTTTGCTCATATTGACTAATGATGGGAAGCCACGTTTTATTATTATGTTGGTCATTTGATGGGAACATATGCGATTTATTCTGTTGGTCATTCTGGAGAATTTACCTTTTGGAGGGAGATCAGAGACTCTTGGCTGAAATAAGATAAATACTTATAAAATTAATAAGTTGTAGGCTGTGTGTGTGTGTGTATATATATTCAGATGTCTCTGAGATGACACTTATCTTTTTATTATCTTATGTTACTCCTTTGCTCCCTCAAGCTTACATTTCTATAAACAGAAATAATGAAATGAGAAAATTAATTTTTTTGAGTCTTCTTTAAATTTACATGAAATTAGCTAGTCCATTGTGGACGCCATTAAGTTGAAGGCTTCAGGAAAAAAAAAATATGTGTGTATGAGTAAGAATTAGAAGGAAATTTGGAAATGTAAAAATAGTTTGATTTATTTGGATGACAATTGAGCTGGCTTTTTCTCTTTTAAAAATAATTAATATTTCTGAGAAATAAATGGACAAATAAATCTCAAAGCTCCCCATCATTTAAAAAGGAAAAGGTTACTGCAAAAATCCCATGTTACAACTGCCACGAAACAGAAGAAATATGTGCATGTATGCTGGCTAACCTTTTGGTCCTCCAACCTGTTCTGCATAAACACTTTTAGTAATTTAATTTATTTTACAGTTTCAAACCTGTTTTCACAATAATTCTGAATTTTATTTTAAAATGCTGAGCTATTAGAAGAGCTCTGCTTTTATTTCTGTAAGTGTTCCTTGCAAATGGGATTTTGCTTTAAGCGGCTTTAAAAGAGGAAGTCAAGGATCTTAAAGAAAATAGAGTGAAGAAGATGAATCCCTTTGTTTTCTGAGGGTCATCCTGTGAGCAGTACAATACAATACAATACAATACAATACTGTGAGCTAACCAGTTAATTGAAGCCTGCCCTTATGAACTGTTATCACTATTTCCCTCCAATTAGGTAACACAGTGTGATTTTAATACAGAGTAGTCAGCTCATATATGGGATTTGCTTTTCCTCTTTGTAATGTTAAGCAATATGATTAACGTATGCTCTTCCTGAATAAGCATTTTTTTTTAACCCATATCAATACTTCCAACAGACAAACCATTCTATGATTGGAGAGGAATTGTTTCGATAAGGTCTGCTTTTTTGCCTCGAGACTCTCTTCGGGTTCATATCCCTGAATCAACTGAAATGTTTCACGATTATCATGCTGTAAGTATTGGTTCAATTGGATGTAGAGTTGAACTACCATTTTTGCCAGAAAAGTATTCGGTTAAATTTGATTGAAAAAATGTGATTTAACTTCAGATTTATTATATTCCTAAGCTATTTCTCCAATGAAATCTATTTTTTTTCTGGAGCTATGCTATTGTCCTTTACTGTATTGTGTAAATCTTGCTCATACCCTTAGACCCAAAATGTGAAAGTGACCAACACATGTTTGTTCCCAATGTCATAGTACTGCAACTATTTTTTATTAATGCATCATAGACTTATCAAAAAATATGATGAGACTATTGGAAAATGAAGATGTTTCCATGAAGCATAATTGAAGAATGAAAAACAAATTCAAGGGCAATTTCATGACCATGCACGTGTGGTATTTCTAATGATGATCTTGTAAACGTGGTGTGGGGACCTGTGACCTGAAAAGTGAAATTAAAATGTGGGTCCATGTGAGAAAGTCCCTATGTAGATAACAGAAGCTCATGGACTCCAGACTTCCTCACCAGTGGTTGGTCTGTGTGTGTGTGTGCTTTTCAGAGAGCCCCTTGGGTTCTTTCTGAGTATGAGTACATCTTGTCCTATCCTGTATTATTATTTTTTCCGGCAGGTCTCCCATCACTTATTATTGTTCTTTTCTTTATTTTTGTATTCACTACCATTAGAATGACTACAGGGTAGATGGATTAAAGATCAGAAATCTACTTTCTCACGGTCTGGAGAGTACAAGTCCAAACTCAATTTGCTTTCCGCAAAAACTTTTCCTTCTCCTTCTCACTGTGTCCCTAGAGAGTACTTCCTCTTTCTGCACACATCCTCGGTCTTCCAGCTCTGCCTCTCTCTATTCCTGTCTCTGTATCTCTCTTTGTCTCTTTTTATAAGCACATTCGTCCTTTTGGATTAGGCCATAACCCTTAGGGCTCTCCTTAAGGGTCCTACCTACTGGAGTAACATTACAACTTCATTCATTACAACTTGTTAATTACGACTTCAGTTCAGATCATAACATCATAACTGAAATCGATCTACAAATGCCTGCTATCTATCAATTGAGTATTTTTAATCCACCATTTAAAATCACACTGAATTTTAAAAATCCATAAGCCAAAAGTTTAAAAATATACCATATGAAGGATTTGTGAGCTTCATTGTGAACCAAACTTACTACCACTAAAACATAACAATTCTCTTTTACAGAGGAAAATTATGTGAATGTTATTATGGACATTTTTTAAATGCAGACAAGGAAATTATTAAGAAGTTTGTATTTCCTGAGATTTTAAGAGTCTGTAAATCCACTGTTCTCAGAATCATGTTCTTATGAATCCTAGTGTATGCCTACATGTTGCCACCGGCTATTGAGATACCTCTTTCTAATGCATTCATATTCTTATGAAAGATGTCCATACAAGGCTGTTTTCATTACCTTCCAGGGAAAGTGAAAGGATTAACCTTCCACTCTAAGCAACTTTAAAGCTTCCTAGTCCTGCTCTATTCTACAATGACAACTTAGACACTAGCCTTAGTTGTGTGAAAAGTAAAAGAAAGACATTAGAATTTATCTCATTAGGAAATGCAGCTGATTAACAGTATACTTGATAATGGAGAATTCTAAATGTAAGCCTGAGTATTTATTCATTGCTGAGAAATTAGGAACATAGAAGATATGTGACTGTTGCTTTGATGTAGTAGGTACTTTGGGATGGTGGCGCTGTCAGAGTGTGCATCCCCAGCTGGGGGCAATGGCAAGTGTTACACTACTAGGGGAAAAGCAGCTAATAGCTGGCAGGCATCCTGGGTCTGGTCAATGCTAAATCTGTGTTAACCATACCAGTGTGTCAGATATGTGTGTGGGTGTGTGTGAGGGGTGCCGAGTCCTTGAACCCTGGGGGGGAGGGGTCTGGTGGGGCCTGGGTCACCTGGCCTGAGTGCTTAAGCCCGCCTGCATGTGTGTGGTGGGTCTGTGAGCCTTGGGGAGTGGGGTTCCAGCAGGGCCCGGATCACCTGCCCTTGGTCCTTTGGCCTACCTGTGTAAATGGGTCCAGGTACATGAGCCCCAGGGTTGATGGGTCCTGTGGGGCCTGGGTCTCTCGCATTGGTCCCAGGGTCTAAGCACTTGGGCTAGCGTTTGCTTTCTTCCCAGGAACATTAGCTGGAAGCTTGATTGGGAGCAGAACAGCAGGGACTCCCCAAGTTGGTAGGCACAGCACCAGGCCCATTTAAACTGTTTGTGGGTGTGTGGTTCAGTGGCATTAAGCACGCTTACACTATAGAGCACTTATCTTCATTCATTTTCAGAACTTTTTGGTCTTCTGAAACAGAAGCTCCATTGTAATTCAATATCAACTCTTGATTTGCCCTACCCCAATTTCCTGGCAGCCAATATCTATTTTCTGTTTTGTACATTGAATTTGACTACTCTGGGTACCTCATGTAAGCAGATTTGTAGAGCATTCATTCTTTCTATGATTAGCTCATGTCATTTAGCCTATTGCCTTACATGCTCATCCGTATTGTATTGTTAGTCATTTCTTTCTTGATTCAGGTTGAATACTATTCAGCTGTGTACATTTTGTGTGACCATTGTACATCCGTGGTCATCTGGGTTGTGTCACTTTTTGGGTGTTTGAATAATAACGAAATGTACGTGAACGTATAAATTCAGTTTGAACCTCTGCTTTTAATTCTCCACCCAGAAGTGGAGTTCCTACTTTGTGTTAGATTTCTGTTTATTATTTTTTAGGACTCAGTGTACCATTTTTCATAGGAGCTGTACCATTTTACATTCTCCCTAACGATGCAAGAGGGTCCTAGTTTTCCTATATCTTCTCCCCAAAACTTTTCTGATGTATTTTCTGATGTCTACATCCTGATGGTTGTAAAATAAGTCATCTCGATGTGAAGATGTCTAGTCAGTTCAGAACACAAATAGTAAACTGGGAAACCCGAGAATGAAGGAACCTGCATTGTAAAAGATCAGTGGAGATGAGGGCTGAGGAAACCTGCTTTATTTTATTTTATTGGAGGAGCTAGGTATATAAAATATTCTGCTTCAAAATGTATTTCATGGCTGTGGTACTTCACACAAACTTAATTTGCTCAAATAGGAAACTCACTGTGGATATAGTTTCTTTAGGTTAAGAAAATAATCCTTTTCATCTGGTAGTATTTTAAAATATATTCTGTATTCTTATTTTGTCTTCTAATTAAATTATTGTTTAATAAAGCTACATAGGTTTTGGTATTTAGTCTTTCATTTCTGCCACCACATATTTATTCTATTAGAAATCCCAATTATTGAAGCAATGACACGAGGATCCTGACATTCTTTACATAATTAAAAAAAAAAAAAGAAACACTGCCTACAGAAGAAGCAATTATTGATGTTACTTTTTACGGTTCCTAAAAGAGAGGTCTTTCTAGCCTTCATTATCTTGAAGAATAATATTTATCTAAGGTAGAACCTGTGGGTATAACTCTTCAAATAAAATAAAATAAATATGTAGTATTACATCGCATTTTTTACAGTGCATTGGAAAGACCACCATCTCCAACCTGTTGCTGTAATTTCACATCATAACTGATTTCTAAGAGTTCTGCTAACTTCATGATACTGTCTGAGCAGTCTTGGAACAAATCCTAAGCGGAATGAAGTAATGATGAAAAAAAAGAATCAGTTCTTTTCAAACTTCTGAGATGTAAAAAGGAACGTACTTCTCCATAGTGCTCTGAAAAATAGGATAAAAACAAATATTGAATGGGATGTGTAACTTCTGGTTGATATCTGTTAACAGAAAACAGTGAAATAACTTGGGTATTGCTTGTCAGTAAGGTACAAAAATGAGGCAAAAGTGAGGTAAGATGAGCAGTTGGTTTCTTGTGCAGTGGCCCTGTGAGTCATGAAGGCTTGAAAACAAGGGCATCATACTTATTTGTTGATGGAGTGAGAAGAGGGTACCAGAGTCCAGGAGAAAGTACTCCAGCAGCAGAGAGAGCCCCTGTGGTTGGCCACGGTGTGGCAAAGCTTGTCCCACCATGGGAGCTGTGCGGGGATGTGCCATCCCCAAGTGCTGCGTGGGCCTCCTTGTTTGCATTGAACAAGGAAGAAGCCCTATGGTCACATTAACTGCTTAACCCTCAGTGAAAAGGATTTGCCTAAATGTAAAGCTTGAAAGTCAAGGATTATGAGAAAATAGAATTTGATCTCATAACCGATTGTATCACATTGATCTTCTTCTTCAAAGAACACATGTCAGCTGTTTGGGTATATAACTTCCTGTCTGCATAAGCCTGGACTCCCTGAACACGAGTGGGAAGAAGATGAGGCACTGGGCACGTATTTAGGTATACATGCAGCTTCATTTCTTAAAGAATGACAGACATCCTTTGCTTTATAGAAACTACATTTTAGAGATCCAAAAGAATTTCAAATATAAATTAATTCTTTGTATTAGATTATTTTTGAATTTAAGATAGATTGACTGGATTTTAACATAGGGAATTTATTGTTTTTTTCTTTGGGGAATATTTTTGAGCTGTTTGGGTAAAAATGAATTGTGTAATAATCTACAAGTAGTGCATGCCTTTAACTTAGAAACTTCAACAAGTTTTTTTTTTTTATAACTCATACAAGGTATACTGTCAGATTCAGAATAATTGCTTGAAGCAGTCTATTAATTAGATTCTCTGCTATTTTTATGACATATCACAAATCACCACAGTTAATAAAGTATGTGTTTATTAAAATAATTTTATATTTTTTGCCATGTTTGAAAAATCTGTGGTAGTCTTAGGCCTAATTACTTCCTGAGGTAACACTGAAATGGTTGAATTTTGAGAGGGGGATTTGTTTACTTATTGGTAGAAAGAGAACATATTTCATATAAAGAACATAGTGATATTTCCTTTTAATTTTTTGTGATAACATACTTTCAGTTTGGTTTATAACCACAAGCCTACTCCTTCACTAAATAGAGTTCAATGAGTAGAAAATAGACCATTAGTCCTCTGGAATATAGAAAAGAACTGTCAACATTCATCAAATTTCAACTTGTCAATTTAACTCAAAAATGCTACTTTTTGTGCTCTCTATATTAACAACTACAAATAAGAGGTATTTATTTTAGGATTGGCTTATTTTAGTCAGTATGATGGTCTTCAGATGCATTAATTTTGCTGCAAAAGATAGGATTTTTCTCTTTCTTGAGACTAGGTAGTTTTCCAACATGCACGCATGTTTGTATATGCATGTTTATCGTAGCATAGTTGTAAGCACATATATAAATATATATTTCATATTGCTTTGGTAAATTCTCAAGGGTGGATAGCTGAATAACATAAAAGATCGATTTCCAGATTTCTGAACAAATGTCTTCTATAATGACTTAATGATGGCACCAGTTTGCATTCCCACCAACAATGTGTTAGGGTGCCCTTTTCTCTGCTTTTTTTTTTTTAATTGTATGGTAGCCATTGTAACTTCAGGTAGACACTCCTGAAGGTAGAACTTTATTGTGGTTTTTATTTACATTTTCCTGATGGCTAATGATGCTGAACACATTTTCATGTGTCTGTTGGCCATTTGTCTTTCATCTTTTCCTGTATGCTCATGTATTTAGCCTATGTTTTGAATGGTTCTTTATTTTGTTGTTGCGGAGTTTCTTGAATTTATATATTGATCCTTTATCAACTATGTAGCTTGAAAATATTTTCTCCCATTCTATAGGTTGCCTCTTTGCCTTTTGCTCCCTTTGCTGTACAGAAGCCTCTTAGCTTCATGGAATTCAATTTGTCTATTTCTGCTTTTGTTACCTGTGACTGTGGTGTCTTATCTGAGAAGTCGTTGCCTAGCGTGACATTTTACTGTGCTTGCCTTACTTTCTTCTAGAAATCTGATGGCTTGAAGTCTTAGGTTTTGATCCTTGAGCCACTGAGAATTGATTTTTATATGCAGCATAAGGAAGGGGTCTCTGATACTTTTTTAAACTGGCTATTCGATTTTTCCCAACACCATTTGTTGAAGAGATGGTCCCTTTTCCAGGCAGTGGTTTTAGATTTTGAAATTTTAGTTGGTTGTAAATGTGTGGGTTAATTTCTGGGTTTCTAATCTGTCTCATTGTTCCACATGTCCATGTGTTAGTACCAGCATGTTTTTGTTTTAACTGCTCTCTAAATCTTTAAATCCAGTCTTTTGGTGCCTCCAGCTTTATTTTTATTGCTTCAGACTGCTTTAGAGATTTAGAGTCTTGTGTTTCCATATACATTTTAGGGTCATTTTTTTCCAAGATCTGAGAATGTCCTTGGTATTTTCAGTGGAATCATAAGGACTCTGTGAATTGCTTTTCATGCTGTTGACATTTTCATATTAATTATTTCAGTAAACATGGAAGGCTGTCCATTTTTTGATGTATTGTTTCTTTCCTAAGCATTTTGTAATTTCCATTGTAGAAATCTTTCACATGCTTGCTTAAATTTTTCCCCCATTATTTAAATTCTTTTATAGCTATTGTGACTGGGTTGATCATACAAGTTCTTTTTCAGCCATGGAATTGTTTGTGTATACGATACTATTGATTTTTGTGTGTTTATTTTATATCCTCCAAACTCCCGCTATGAGTTCCAGTAACTCTTAGTATAGTCTTTTCGTTACTTTGTCAATAGGATCAGGTCATCTGCAAACAGTGACTCCTTCCTTTCCAGTTGGTACAACCTTGACTTATTTTTTCTAGTCAAATTCCTCTAGTCCAAATATCCAGACCTATTTTGAAGAATGGGCATCCTTATCTGGTTCCTGATCTTAGTGGAAAACGCTTCCAGCTTTTCCTCACTCAGTATGATGCAGAATGCAGGTTTGTCAGATATTGCCTTGATTTTATTGAGATGTTTCTTGCATACTCAGTTTGCCTAAGACTTTTTTTAATCATGAAAATAAGCTGTGTTTTTATCAAATATTATCTCTGCATCTTTTGAAATAGTCATTTGGTTTTTATTCTTCAAATTGCTGATGTGATATTTCAGGCTTATTGATGTGTTTCTATTGAATCATTTCTGCATCCCATAGATAAATCCTTTTTGGTCTTTGCGGCTGTTCTTTTTGATGTATTGCTGGGATCTTATTTGTTGTGTCTTTATGTCAGACTTTGAAAATAAGGTCTCAGAAGGAGTTTGGCAGATTTCCCTCATTTTTGAATTGATTTCCCTCAGTTTTAAGAAAAAAAAAAGGGATTTGTTCATTCTTACATGTTTAGTAGAATCCAGCAGCGAAGCATCCAGCGCTGGGCTTGCCTATGTTGGAAGAGCCTTCATTACTATTCTAACTCTGACTCACTTATTGGCTTATTCAGGTTTTTTGTGTTTTTATGCCTCAGTTCGAGGAAATTGAATTTATCCAGAGATCTTTCGTTTTTGTGAGATTTTATGATTAGTTGGCATATAGTTGTTTTTAGTAACTCTTTTTAAAAAAGATTTATTTACTTTTATTTGAAGGACAGATTTAGAGAAAGAGAGATAGAGAAAAAGATCTTCCATCATCTGGCTACTCCCCAAATGGCTGCAATGGCGTGAGCTGAGAGGATCTGAAGCCAGGAACCAGCAGCTTTCCTCTGAGGCTTGCAAGTGGGTGTCAAAGACCCAGACATCCCCTGCTGCTTATCCAGTCCACACACAGGGAGCTGGATGGGAAGTGGAGCAGCTGGGACACACACAAATTGGTGCCTATTTGGGATGCTGGCATTTGCAGGTGGAGGATTAGCCTGTTGAGCCATGGAGCCAATCCCTGTAGTAATTCGTAATGATTCTTTTTTATTTCAGTGATCTCTATGGTAACATCTTTTTTATATCTGATATTGTCAATTTTATCTTTTCTCCACCCTTTTTGTTTTTGCTAGATGACCAGTTGCTTACCAGTTTTGTTTATTTTTTCAAAAACCCAGCTTTTTATTTCACCGCTCCTTTGTATGGATTTTGAAATTGTAATTGTTACTTTTTTCTCTAACTTTTTTATTATAGTTTTCTGCTTACTAATTTGAGGTTTGGTTTTTGTTTTTCTTGGTCTTTGAGATGAATTGACTGATCATTTATTTGATGCCTTCCCAATTTTCTTAATGTAAGCACTAATTGCTCTAAACTTTCCTTGTAATGCGCTTTTGTTATATCCCATCAATTTTGATTAGTTGTATTGCAATCCTCATTTAGTTCTAGGAAAAAACCTTAATATATGCATCACATTTTATTTGAATAGATTTTAATTGGGTTTCTATTTTTGAAAGTCATAATTCTTCTCTACTCTAAAAGGCATTCTGAAATATTCTAAAAGGCATACTCTAAAATATTCACCCAGTCCTGATTGACCCTTTGATCTGAGATCATGAGAGAGATAGCAAGGGGTGTTAGGTGCAGATGCATTAGAATGTGACTAGAGTACTTGTAGCAATACAGTCGCCAGCCAAGACACATTCTTTTTTGTGTGTGTGTGATAAATTAGGGTTTGACTGTTAGCAAAATCTGGATGAAAGAATGAAAAGTCGGTTGTAGAAAAAGTTTGAGCAGACACTGGGTTAAGGGAATCAACAGATTGTGTCTGCCCTTGCTAGCTCCTGCTTCTTCTATACTGCCTTCTGGGAAGCTAAGTACACTTGTTCTCTAGTCATAAGGAACATTAACTAAATTTCTTAAAAAGTAATGAGATAGAACAAACTGTAAAAAAGGCAGCCGAAAAAGACAACATCTGTTATTGAACATGTCTCACTTGACTTCCTTTGAATGTTCTTAGGAAAAAATTTATGAACTAAGGAAGTTTTAGTACTAATTAGCTTGTTTTCATCAAACAAAATGCATTCGGCATGGATGCTGAATATGAATGAAAAATTCAGTAGTGATAGCAGACATAGAAATTATCGATACGCTATGGCCACACCCTTTGGATATTAGTGTCATCTTTTAATATTGTATTGATTTAGATTAGCTATAATTTAGTTTCTTAAATGATCACAAGACATCTTTTAAAAATCATTTATCAAATAATGTGGGTGGATCAGGTAAAAGATTTTCTCTTCACTTACTTGCATTTATACTGCTGAGTTGTTAGAATTATTTGGGAAACAGTTTTGTGGTATATGCAGTTGTGTTTAATGGTTGTCTAGGTCCAGAACCTTTACTTGAAATTGTTGAACCTTACAAATATTTAGGAATTAAGAAAAATCTAAACTTTAAAAGTTAATAAGTGGGGCCCGGCCCGGTGGCGCAAGTGGTTAAGTCCTCGCCTTGCACGCCCAGGATCCCATATGGGCGCCGGTTCTAATCCCTGGCAGCCCCGCTTCCCTTCCAGCTCCCTGCCTGTGGCCCGGGAAAGCAGTCGAGGACGGCCCAAAGCTTTGGGAACCTGCACCCACGTGGGAGACCCGGAAGAGGCTCCTGGCTTCGGATCGGCATAGTATCGACCGTTGCGCTCACTTGGGGAGTGAATCATCAGACGGAAGATCTTCCTCTCTGTCTCTCCTCTCTGTATATCCGCCTTTCCAATGAAAAATAATAAAAAAATAAATAAATCTTTAAAAGTTAATAAGTGGATGTCTAATCAAACCTGTAATTTTTTTGTGTAATTATATATCTATATTCCTATGCTTTACTATATATATTTATATATATACTATATATTTTAATAGTATATGCACACTAAATAGTATATAGCTTATATAGTATATATAGTGTAGATAGTATATATATATATATATGGTCTATATACTATATATGTATATATATATATATAGTGTGTGTGTGTGTGTGTGTGTGTGTGTGTGTATAAAGCATAGGAATAGTCCTGTCTAGTGAGTGACTAAGACCATGTTAGGTTTGTGTTGATTGGTTTAGGTTAGATCTTGCCTTCAAAAGTCAGGTAAGTTAAGTTTTGTCATCCATTAGAGGTGTGGTGAATAATTTATTGTTTTGGAGAGCATGTTTTGCACTAAGTGTGTGATAGAAAAATTGCAGGCTTAGATCAACACTAATAGTGATGAAGGCGGATGAGAAATGGAAGGAGATGTGCATCACTGTGTGCCAACCCCACAGGATGGAAACTGGGGTTTATCCTTTCTCTGTTGGCAGGCATTATTGTTTTCTACCATCTTTCGTTGTGAGCATTCTGCTCCCAGCATCCTTTAGCACATCCCCTGAAGTACAGATACGACATCAATATGGCCCTATCTCCTGTTGCAGAAGGGGAGGGTTATTTATATGTTAGAATATTGATCCTGCCTGTTGTTGGTTTGGTGGGTGGAGCCAGGGCAAGAGGTGCTCACTGAAGCATGATGGATCGCCTGGGCCCATGGGCACAGTTGGTCTTCACGAGCCTCTGCCTGCCTGTTGGGGCTGTGGTGGGATGGACGTGCTGACCAGTGGGCATACGTTAAGCTTTACCAGGCAGGGCAAACAGTTTTCCACTCCTGGAGCTGTTTCTGAGAATTTTGTTTCTTCATGTACATGGCAACAGTCGATACAGTGAAAATTTTAACCTTTGCCAATTTGGTGATTTTGAAATTTTAAAAATATTAACTTACATTTTCTTAATTACCAATGAGGCTTATAACTTTTTTTTTTTTTTTTTTTAAAGATTTATTTTTATTATTTTTTATTGGAAAGGCGGATATACAGAGAGGAGAGACAGAGAGGAAGATCTTCCATCCGATGATTCACTCCCCAAGTGAGCCGCAACGGCCGATACTATGCCGATCCGAAGCCAGGAGCCTCTTCCGGGTCTCCCACACGGGTGCAGCGTCCCAAAGCTTTGGGCCGTCCTCAACTGCTTTCCCAGGCCACAGGCAGGGAGCTGGAAGGGAAGCGGGGCTGCCGGGATTAGAACCGGCGCCCATATGGGATCCCGGACGTGCAAGGCGAGGACTTAACCACTTGCGCCACCGCGCCGGGCCCGAGGCTTATAACTTTTTCACGTTTCTGATCAACCATGACATTATCTTTGTGAGCATGACGTAATTTTATGTTTAGAAATCATTGAGGTTCTTTTTTTGCTTTATTTTGTGTTCTTTTCATTATCAGCTGCTTATTTTTCTTGTTGTTTTCTTTTGTTAGCATAATTTTTTCATCTATTCTGTTTTTCTTTACTAGTTTGGAATTTACAGTCTTGTTTTTTAATAAAGTATCAATCTATGTGATTTAGTATGTAAAAGTAACTAAAAGTACCTTTCCTGTCTTCCTGTTCCACACAGAAAGTGTAGATGGCTGACTTAGAGCCAGCGTCACAGACAGCATGTAAATTCATACACAGTCTTCTCTTTTGCTCTTTTGTTCCAGGACAGCTTTTCACGTATTTTATTTATCAAATGCTTCTTTATTTGACTGAAAGGCAGAGCGCTACAGATAGAGAGATCTTTCAACTCTTGATGCAACACCTGCACCTGGACCAGGCTGAAGCCAAGAGTGGAAATCCACTCCAGTTTTCCCACGTGGGTGTCAGGAAATGGCCCTCTCTGCCTCTCACTTTGCACTTGATTATGAAGCTGGATCAGAGCACAGCAAAGACAGAAAGAGAGAATGTGGGCTTCCCTAGCTGCGGGGTGTGTTAGCTAAACGGTGCCAAACACCTACCCCCAGGACAATTTTTAAATTTTGGTTCATGTTCTAACACTGTTACTATTTCACAACCCACAATTTTATGACTACACCAAGGGCCTTCTTATTTGCTCTGTGTTCCAGAGCTTCTGTCACAATTACAGGTCATGTGCAGCTCATCAGAATCCAGGCCGAGGCTCTCAGGAATCCCCTTTGAATCCCTGAGGCAAAAACAGGCTCCAGAATGTTTAGAGCAGGAAATTCAATATTTCTCTTGTGTTTTAATCAGAATGCAATTCCATTATTTTTCCTATCAGCTCAGACATACATTAGGAAATTCTATTTTTTTGTTTTTTTTTTTTAAAGATTTATTTTTATTATTTTTTCATTGGAAAGGCGGATATACAGAGAGGAGAGACAGAGAGGAAGATCTTCCGTCCGATGATTCACTCCCCAAGTGAGCGCAACGGGCCGATACTATGCCGATCCGAAGCCAGGAGACTCTTCCAGGTCTCCCACGTGGGTGCAGGTTCCCAAAGCCTTGGGCTGTCCTCGACTGCTTTCCCAGGCCACAGGCAGGGAGCTGGAAGGGAAGCGGGGCTGCCGGGATTAGAACCCACGCCCATATGGGATCCTGGGCGTGCAAGGCGAGGACCTTTAACCACTTGCGCCACCGCGCCGGGCCCTGTTTATTTTTTTAAAAAGAATTTGTTGTTGTGTTGTACTGTGACTTGTTAGTCTCATAATATTCCTGGGAACAGAAGTTCCCTTATGTATTTTACCAGGCAGATTTTACAGGGACTTATAATAGGGCGCAAACTGCCCCAGTGACTTCTTATCAGCCTTTGCGTTGCCTCCTAAACCCTAAACTGGATTTTAAAAACCCATAAAAGACAAAAATCCTCTTATTTTGATCTTTTTTACAGAGGATAAAAAAAACTTTTATCCAGGGAGAGGTGAATGAGTAGCCTTTACAGGTTCATCTCTCTTTTCCTGATGTGCAAGCCCCATGGCTTCCTGGGTCTGACCAGCCTTAGCTTTGGGATACTTCTTCCTCTGTAAAGCACTGTGAAAATGCTGCACTTGAGTCCACTTCCCAAGATGGGGGCAGGTCCAGCTCCCCGAAGTTGCTTTGGGAACTGAGAGGATTCGCAGGAAGGTCCCTGCTTCCTACAGGTGAGTGTGAGGCATTCAAGCACACCTTCTGTGGGTGAGCATCTTGAGTCCTCCAATTCAATAAGCCGAAGTGATCACCGACTTGTGAACCGGTGTATCTGGTACCCTCCTGTCTGTATATCCACAGGAGTAGACACCTGTCTGTGGAAAGTAGCTCACACTAGAAACAGTAGCAGTGTGAAGAATTTAGCTTTGTTGTGTTTCACAGAAGGCAGGCAGACACTCCTCATACTAGGCCAGCCGGGCAGAAAAAGCTTTGCAGTTTATTTTTTCATATTTTAGGATATAATTTGTAGTTTTATGTGTATGCACTATTAATGACGTTCTTTTCACAGTTACCTATTTTTAAACAAACCTTTCATTTTATGTGGAATGATGTGTTTGTATTTGCTTCTGGAAGGTTTACAATATGTTTGACACTAGGAATCTTTCCTGTTACTTTGAAAACACCCTTAACCACATCATGAGGGGAGGAGGTGGCATAATATTCTAATTTTAGATGACTTTTTATAGTAAACGAGTGTTAGAAATTCATGCTAATAGTAATAAAATAGAAATTTATCTAGGGCTAAGATGCAAAATGAGAGGGTAAATAAAGATCTATAGTTAATCAATGCAAGAAAAGTTTAATTATTTATTGGAGAGGGGTGGAATGAAAGAAGAGAGAGGGAGTGAGGAGGGGAGAGAGAGGGGAGGGGAACTGTATCCCACGTGCTTGGTTTTGTCTTGCCTGTGAACCAAGCATCGGCCTGAACAGAAAAACGAGACCCAACCCATATGAGATTTATTTCTTATTAGAGAGAGAGAGAGATATTACACAGCCAATTTTTTATTATTACACTGTAAGACATCAGTAAGAAGGGAAAATAATCCGGATAATATTCAGAAGGAAGAGAGAGCTGATGATGAGGAGGTGCTTTTCTAGATGTGTCACAGACATGGTCAAGGTCTAAGGGTGGCATCAGTTACACTGTGGGAATCTGAGAAAATACTTGTATATCAGGGAAGGGTCTCCAAAAAGACATTTTAGTAATACCCTTGGGTTATTAGCCAGATTTTGAAAATTTTACCCTGATTGTTTAATAAAAAAGTACAGCTTCAACCAAGTGTTTAGGGTGCTTCACCCCAAATATATTGCCGCAGAGAGTAACATTTTGAAGGAGTTGAAAAAACTACCTTGTAGATGTGGAAAAAGGAAAGATTTTAAGAGAGGATGAAGTTGAAGCATGCAACAGAATGGACTGGAGACCTGAGAATATGAGTACGTGGAATACATCTTGGGGAAAAAAAATCAGATTCCTCAAAGAAGTGATAGTGATTTTATGAAAAGGAGCACGAAAGAGCTAGCTTCTATTTAGATACAAAGAAAAACACAGACTGAAGTTGGGAAGGCACTGAAGTTGTAAGACAGTAAGTGGAAAATCACGAAGCTCATCTTTGGAAGGGAAGTCCCCAGGAATGCTTGCCCGAGAGTGTTTTACTTAGCACCCCTCACGTTCGACACCCATCCTCCTGGAGAAGTCGCTGCTTTAGTTAGTCTGGGAAAGAAGGAAGCAATTAAAAAAAATCCATTTGCAAGTGTAAACAGTAAAATCGTCCAGTGTGCCCTAAGCCAAGCACATTGTTTTATGCAAAAGTGAAGGCTATAAAGATGGAAACTGATTTTATAATCCATTAGGTTTTTTTTTTGTGGCCATGAATATGTATCATGGAACATATTGAGAGCAATATTTAAAATATAGGTCCAGTTTCATGCTTTATTATTACGTTTTGCACATAAATTGTAGAAAATACTGCGTTATTCTTGAGGATGATTGTTTATTTGCAGAAGAATGCATGATCAGGCAATTTTCCAAAAGTAGCCCATATTGAGAGATATTACCATACGTTTTTCAATGTCAGTGTTGTGTTCTAACACAATTGTAGAAGAAAGATAAGCCTTCAAGACTTAAAAAAAATGCCATAAATTAAATTAATGTATGTAACTAAGACTGCATCTGAGAGAGCTCCTGTAGGCTTAACTCTGAAAGAGGGATTTGCGATTTGTTTTACAACATTAAAATAGCTGCTCTTTGTCTTAATAGTAAGTATCTTTTCTTTACATTTTCTTTCACATTTCATCTTTATACCAACCCTTTAGGTTTCCTCCTGAGAGTTTCAATATAAGATATTTTTGGCTTTAGTTTCCCAAACCAGTGTTGAAACCTCAAATATTAAAAGTGAAAACAAACATTTTCCTTGTGGTCTCATGGACACTCCCTATTATCAAACAGCCAAGAGATTTCCCGGTACTGTCTACTTTCAGATTCCAAGGGAACTGACAACCAACAACCCCCAGTCTCTAGCCTTTTCGTCATAGACCAAGATCACTTTAAATTCCATCCGCCTATTTCTTGAAACGTATTTGATGTAAAGTACTTGTCACAAAATAATACAAAATGGCTGTGTCATCTACCAGTGCTTGTCGTGGTTTTGAAAAAGATTCATTTTTTGGAAAGAGTTGAGAGAGAGAGAGATACCTCCCAGGTATCCATTTGATCTTTGAGTCACATCAAATGATCTGAGTGGCAAAGACCCAATCTGAAGTCTTCCAGAATTATTTCCCCAAATTGTTCTGTTCTTGACCAATGTTGTAGAATTGTCTAAAAAAAAAAAAAAACCCACATTAAACTATTATACCTGTTTGTTGGGGTGGTATTGTTGAAGCAAATGCAGTTTTCCTGTCTTTTTTTGAAGTACATATAAGAAAGTGTTTTCACTGGAAATAAGCTGGTTTCTCTTTGAAACACTGTGAATGTTAGAACTGCTATGTGGTGTTACTTGGTATGTCATTTTGCTAGTGCTGCTGTAATGCCACATGGTGAGTGGTTCAAACATTAGCTATCTGTTTTCTCAGAGCTATGGAAGATCAAGGTGACAGGAGACTTGACCTTGAGACCTCACTCCCAGGCTTAAAGATGACCACTTCTCCTTGTGGCCCCAAAAAGCTTTTTTCTTTTTTTCTTACTGTTTCCACTTCCTCTTAGAAAGGCACCGGTCCTTGTGGATTATGATACTACTCTTCCTACATCACTTAAGCTTAATTCCTTTATTAAAGCACTTATCTGTAAATATTGTCACATTGGTGGTTAGAGCTTTAGCATAGATTTGGGGTTTGGGTGGGCAGTTCAGTCTATACTATTTTTGCAGACTGGAGGTTGGGAGCTAAATTTATGTGACATATCATGTAACCTCAGAAAGTATTTGATACAATGTTTCTCATATTTGTTTTTTAACCTGATTTTCTTTTTGTTGTTTGCATGTTTATTCTTGTTCCTTTTCCATGTTTGTATATTCATTCTTGGTACTTATCTTGTCTATATTAATTTTTGTTAGATGCTGTATTTCTGAAAGCTATTAAATTTTTAAAGAATCAATAATTGCTCATGTATAATTGATTTGTAAGGATATTTTCTGAGTGAAATGATTATTGGCAATTGTATTTATACAGGCTGAATCATGGTGAAATTCCAACAATTAGAATTCTATTAATATGTTTGTGTACCCATATGAAATTTAGGTTTTTAATACAGGTTATAACTGAATGTTTCTCTGATAAAATCTCAGAATTTCAATGGAAATAAAAATATGTAGATAACGATGTGGCATTTAACTTTTTCTGCTATATTAACCCTTCTCTCTCTCTCTCTCTCTCTTTTCCTAGAAAGATCTTATGAAAAGAGAGCAAAAGCATATCAAGGCAGAACAAAAGCCACAACCCAGGTATATCATTTATACAAAAGCAGTAAAGTATAAATTGATGTGCTTTCATTCAGTACTGTTACTGTAATTGTTGACTTCAATCTATAGATTTAAGAAGATGCAGGTTGTTGAAAACTGAGATTGTTAATATCTCTTTTAGTGTTGACTACTTGACTCAAGCAAGAATAAGACTGTATTTGTTTCAGGTGTCTTCACTGTGCATGAGTAGCAGCAGGTGAATTTCACTTTGTGATATCTAGGTGAGAGCAATGCACGTGGCACCACAGAGTTCCCTGTGAAGCGTGCCTTTCCGTGGCTCTGCTAGAACTTCTCACATTGCTTTGATGCTTTATGCATTGAATTTGTGGAAGACTTTTGTGAAAAACTATTCGTAGGAGCTAGATTGGGAATTGAATGTAAAGAAGGAATTACACAGAGTGAAGTTTCTGAATTTATGGGTGTGGGTTTCACACTGGTGTTTTCTAATTCGTTAAGCACACATTGATTTCTTAACTTTATATTATGAAGTGGGAAAATATGCAAAAAAATGTGAAGGCAGTGCGTAATTTTGCCACACAGATGGAAACTAGAGGCCATCTGAGTCTTGAAAGAAAGGAAGGGCAAGGGATAATTTAGTTTTTCCTAGGTAATGCAGGTAAAATTGCTACATCCTAGAAAGCATCAAGTGTCGGTGTGAGGTGTCAGAAGACAGAAGTTGGATCTGCGGAAAGTACTGGAAACTGATGAGCCTGTCTCACAAAGAGAGAGCCTCACAGGGCAGAGGGCTGAGACTCCTTGCAGGCCCCTGAACCCGGTATTCATGTAAGAGATTGCAGGGATTCCAAAACTAAGGCAACAACCTGCGTAGTTTTTAATTGATGCGAGTGGCTACATCAAAAGAAAAGATATCATAAATGCTGAAATTTATAGACAAAAGCTTTAAAGCAGCTTTTGTAAAAGCCCCCAGAATTAACTTGTTCCTAATGACAGAAGACCTATTGCGTAAATAAAACCTACTATACCAACAATAAAATTAGAACTGTAGATATAGGCGATTTAAATAAGCCATCAATTGATTTGACCCAGTTTACACCTGAAGAAAACTGTGTCCAACGACTATAATTGCACATGTAGGCAACATGCTTTATAAATATGGAACCGAAAACAAAGAGCCTGAAAATATACAAACCATGTAGCAGGTGAACAAAGCCAAGAATTGTTTCTTCAGTAAGATTAATGAAATCCGTGCGCTTCTAATAAGAAGCATTTGGCCCAGTGCTTACAACCTTGGTTAAGACGTCACTAAACCAAGTCACAAAGCCGGCATTCAATTCCTGGCCACAGCTTCTGAGCCCACTTCCCTGAGGTCAGGCCCTGAGAAGCAGTGGGGATGGCTCAAGTGCTTGTGTCCTTGTCCTCCACGGGGGAAGGTGGGACTGGGTACTTGGCTCCGGGCCTCCCAGCTGGCTCGTTGCAGACATGTGGGGAGAGATGAAGCAGATGGAGAGCTTCCCTGTCTGTAACTCTGTCTACGTTTCTCTCCAATTAATTTTTAAAAAGTAGACGGGATAAAACACAACTTGCTATTCTCATTAAGGAAGCAACCAGCATCACGAAAATTCTTATAGATGTTGAAAGGATAATAAGAAAACATTTGAATAATATTATGTCAAGTATTTTCATCCAGAAGGAAGCATTTTTTTCCAAAAATTAACACAGAAATAAATAGAAAATCTAAGTACTTTATGCATTTTTTAAAAAAATAGGTTTTATTTATTTTTATTGAGAAGTCAGATATACAGGAAGGAGGAGAGACAGAGAGGAAGATCTTCCATTCAATGATACACTCCCCAAGTGGGTACAACAGCTGGAGCGGAGTTAGCCTGAAGCCAGGAACCAGCAGCCTCTTTTGGGTCTCCCATGCTGGTGCATGGTCCCCAGGCTTTAGGCTCCCCTGGGCTGCTTTCCCAGGCCACAAGCAGGAAGCTGGCTGGGAAGTGGGGCTGCCGGATTAGGACTGGCATTCATATGGGATCCTGGCGCTTGAAAGGCGAGGACTTTAGCCGCTAGCCTACCCTGCAGGGCCCACTTTATGTCTTTTAAAGAAATTGAATTTTGCTATTAAAAAATCTTCCTGTAAATAGACGTACTTTTAAGAAAATTGAATGTTTACTGTCCCGGTTAAATAATTCCTTCACGTCTCCTCTACTTGTTCTGTTTGACTGGGAAGTCTTTTTCTTTATTGGTATTACTGATTTATAATTGGTTTAGCCTTTCAATGCAAAATGATTGTGCTGCAAGGATGAGTGTTTATTGCAGTTCGTTATAAGAAGCTAGAGCTAAATAAAGTCTCAGCATTTCTTTCTGTGCTCCGCTGTCTGTTGCATGTATCAGGAGCTGTGACGAAGTTTTGTAGGGTTATCTCGCAAAATCTTTGTATAAATATCTGAAACATTTACAGGTTGATGTCTGAAGGAAATTTTTGGAAATGACTTGATTCAACCCTCTCTCCTCCAATTGAGAAATCTGAGGTTCAGAAAGATTAGGAACTTCTTCAAATTCACAGAAGTGAAAGAACTGTGACAGAATTGTGACTGTGAACCCTGGGTGATAGTCACCTTGTCTTTAGGTAATTTATGTCTTAAATGTTAAGTGTTTCTGATGATTTGAGGGAGGTAGACTGAAACTTTAATACCTTGTTAACCCTAAGTAAGACTGACTGTAGTGATTTAGAAGTATTACTAGAATAGAGTAAGAGAGGGTGGTGGGACACGTGAGACTAGATGCTGGACGAGAGGAAGAGCATGAAATGGGAGGAGGTGTGGTGCTTTGGCTCAAAGTGCTAAGCTTCTGTTGGGGATGCAGGTACCTCACAGCTAAGTACTGCTTGCGGTGTTGGTGGCTCTGCTTTTAATCCAGCTTCCTGCTCATGCAGGTGGGGGCAGGTAACAGATGACTATGGCTTGGGCTCCTGCTGCTCAGTAAGAGACCAGGACAGAGTTCCTGGTTTAAGGCTTCTTCCTGGTTTATGGAGTGTATCAGTAGTTAGATTTTCATTGTCTTTATCTTCTCTCTCTCTCTCTTTCCCTCTCATTCTATCTTTCTATTGTGGTCTACCTTTCAAATAAATCATTAAAAAGAGGGAAGCAGTGGGGGTTTAGCGTAGTTGCCTAGCTGCCACAGTCCTCACCTTGAATGCTCCAGGATCCCATATATGGGCACCGGTTCTAATCCTGGTGGCCCCACTTTCCATCCAGCTTCCTGCTTATGGCCTAAGAAAGCAGTCGAGCATGGCCCAGAGCCTGTGGACCCTGCACCAGCGTGGGAGACCTGGAAGAGGCTCCGAGGCTCCTGGCTCTTGGCTTAGGATGGGCTCAGCTCTGGCCATTGCAGCTACTTTGGGAGTGAACCAGTGGACAGAAGATCTTTCTTGCTTTCTCTCCTCCTCTCTGTATATCTGACTTCCCAATAAAAATCAAATATATCTTTAAAAGGGGGAAAGCAGCGTGAAAGTAAAGTAAAACTGTGACTAAGGAAAAGTTTTGTTTTCAATCTGCGATGTTGTTTTACAATACACGTTATCTTTCACTTTCTGAAACACCTGTACCCTCAAATATGACACACATGCACACATATTTATTTGAGACTACTTTTCAGTGTCAATATTGAAATCCTCTTGTCCATTTCAACTACTGCCCTGTTTCTATCATAAACACTCCCTGAAACTTCAGAATCTGCGTGTTGGAGCCCTGTACAACTTGGCCTGGAGGATTTTTCTTGTTAGGACTTTCCCATGTATTTTCAGCTACAGATTTCCTTACAGTCTGCATGAGACAGAGTATATTATAACCTTCCACTACGTATCAGTCAACTTCAATCAAGCACTGGCCATTTTCTAAGTGCTTTTGCATTTGAGGGGGGAAAATACGTCACACATCTATTGCCACTGCCAGGTTGCAGTAAACACAAGAGAGTCTGTTTTCCCAGCTCTCTTCCTCGTTATAGGATGGGAACATAGATGATGGAATTAATTTACACGTACCCACGGGCTTTATGGACTCCTTCACAATCTATGCACCCACTCAGCAGGATTTTTAAGGAAGCATTCATTGGCGTTTAAAAGGTGGGAGTGGGGAAGCTGAGCAAAGGAAGCTGCTGCTGCTTTTGGTTTGGAATTCCTGCTAATGTGAGCAGCTACTAGTATTCTTGGTAGGGAATGGAAGTTGTTGCCCTATATGGATAAAAAAAAATCGCTCCTTATTATTTTTATCCCAATCTTCCAGGATCACAATCTAAAAGGAAAATTTTCACACTCAACTTTTCCTTTTGTGTGTATGTCTTCCTGTTTTGTCAGTTGCAAAGATTTTAGTGTTCAGAAAGGAAGAAAATAAGGTGTTGTCCTCCTTATACATTTATTTATAGAAACTAACATCTGGTATGCATAAGGCTTCATTAGCAACAGTATTAAACAAACAGCTCTAATGTTGGAGTCTTACAAATTTAAAATCATTAACTCACTTGAAAAGCTTACATAGTAGATATTTATTTTATTTGGGGGTTCTTAAACATATTTCTTTAGTTTGGGGAAGACAATCTTTTTCCTTGATATTGTAAGTAGGTTGTGTAAATATTGATTTCATATTCACTCATTTACAACATTTATAATAAATAATTTAACAAATGAAATTTTAAAAATATTTTTGTATTTGAATGAAGGTTTTTATTCTTTGATATTTTCGTTAAAGCAAAGAACTTTTAAATGACTAGGATCTGTAAATGTGAAAAGATTGCTGAAAATCTGTAAGTTTAAAATATGGTTGAGAAAGCCAAAAATCGTTTTTAAGGGTGAGGAAGTTTATGTTCAAACATTTCCAAGAAAGCCAGTCAAACACAGTGGAATAGAAAATGGTAAAAACCCACTTTTCTGTCTTTTATACAGTAAAATAGTTAATGTAAAATTTCTAAGCCAGAGAGCCAAAGATATGTCATTCCTAATTTTTTAAAAATGAAATTTGTGTATG